TCAGCATGTCTGCACCTCAACATCTTTGCATGTTCTAACATGCAAACCAATTTGTTTGCTTTGTAGCCTTGAACCTCATGCCTCAGGGCATAAATTAACTAACTCCAGGGCTCTAGAGGGATTTCTTTATTTATTTTTACCCCTGATCTTTCAGCAATGCAGATGTTACTAGATATGCCAGGGGGTTATTCACCTTGTTGAGCATCAATTACAAATCACAGCAGTTGGAAGCATTTGTATATTTTGGCACAAACCTTATTCTGTGTCATATTAACTAAAGTTCATTAATACAATCAATAGAACTACATTATCCTGGCAACAGAGTTTGGTCCATTGCTAGCAATGGTACTTCAGTGGTGAAATTTTTACTGGTTTGTTTCCAAATATCAGCTTAAAATCAGTGCAACAACTGCAAAGTTTGTTTGGTTTCTGTAGTGCAGCTTACATGCATGCACCCAGAATACATTTTTACTAGTAGTGAAGCATCAGATGCTGCTTTACCAACTACTTTGTTAGCTGTTATGTGAAAGAATCAACCTTTAGCATTTGTGAGCTTAGTCATCCTGCTTCTTCCTCCTTGCAGCTCCTGCTCTTCCTCGATGCAATGCAGCATCTACAATGAAATGGCGATTTCTCCTCTGGTCTCCTGTGCATTTGCATCAGCTTTGCAATCAGATAAATAAACTCCACTCATCACCTGCCACAAGAAATCCTTATCAAAGATAAGATTGCCAGAAGGGATCATTTTATTAAGACTAGAAATTATTTTGAGAGCATGTTCACAAGTACCATGACATATAAACGTATATAATTCCATTTGGTGAGACAGCTAACACTCAGATGGAATAGAAGCACTTTGTCTGGGCTAGATAAAAGCAAATAAATAGTATATGCATGACCTCTCCCTGTGCTTGAAGATTTTAAAGTCCAAAGGAGATCACTGTATGTTACTAAGGCAAAAAAGGCACTCAGTTGTCCTGATTGTTGACCAGAACATCTATAGGAAATATCTCCCACCTGGACAGTACATTTTTTCGGTTTATTCAGTGATGCTAATTGATGGAATGGGGGGTATTTAGTTAATTAAGACATGGCAATACATCTGCTAAAGAAAAGACAGAAGGAATTCTATACCACTGAAAAGCACCTTAATGATAACATAGTACTGAACCTACTGCATACATTTTTGGTCCTTCTAGAGCTCATCCAATCACATTACTCATCCAATCACATTAAAAAAAAAAAAAAAAAAAAAACAGACTACTTTTTTTTTTTTGCTAGACCTCTTTGTATGTGTTCTGAATTACTAATTACTAAGACTTTGGAATGCAAGACAGCTTAGGAAAAAAGTTCAGCATGGACAAAAGACATTAATTTCTTAAAGCAGGAATAAATGCTGACAGACACCACTTGCAAAGCAAGATATACAGACGACGGAAGATGGGCACTGGGCTGTTGGTTATGAAATTGCTTCCTCTCTCCTAAACACCTATTTATTGTACAACACAGTGAAAGAAGCTCAAGCACAAGTGCGACATTATGGCTATACAACATTTGCAAGGTCTACCTCTGACTACTGCATTCAAAATATTTGAATGCAACTTCATCCACTGTGTCAAATTCTGCTTTCTATTTCAGTTTAACTACATGAGGCAGAAACTGTCATCATGTGTTTATAAAACAGTCGGTGCTCCCAGGAATCCAGACTTATTTGGTACGCTGGATATAACTGTAACAGATTAAAAAAAGAGAAAGAATCTGCCAATACAACTGCCTTATGACATGACCCACGGGTCAGGCCAAATTCAGTCCTGCACACATCCGTATATACATACACATAAATTACATTATATGTATCTCAGCAGAATGGGAGCTGCAGTCATGAAACAAAATGCTGAATTTAATCTACTGTCTTAAGTTGTTGTTTAATGCACTGAGTTCTTTAGCAGATACTTCATTCTATGTAGCTGTGACAGTTGAAAACATAAATCTGTATTGTGATTCTGTTATGACTCTTCTTTGGTCAACAGTTTGAAGCTGCTTCTGAGTTCTAGGGTTTTTTTCAATAAGGTGGTGGTATGCTCCGAGGAGAGAAGCAGCAGACAGAGTAGGCACAAAGCACTAAAAATGTATGCAAGAGCAAGTAAAGTAAGCTACTTAAACACAAGATTCTAATTTTGCAATTTCAAAATGGTAGTAGTATTCGAAAGGGTAACAATCTGAGATATAACAAGAAACAAACTTCTGTAAAAAAATCTAACCCACTGTTGTTTTAAGTGCTACATTCATTCAAATGTACCTCATCCCATCCAGCTCTCAATTAACTGCTTTCTCATTCCAAATGCAGGTCTGCAGTGCATAGAAATATAATCATTTACACACCAGTCTATCATTGCCACTACTTCTAAAGCATCTTGATTACTCTACTGATGAGCACCATGGAAATGCCTATAAATAAAATAATCAGCTCTCATTAAGTTACAGTTCATGGAGTAGGGAAAGATGATTTTCCTTTGTACGTTCCTTTTGTAAATTTTATCATTTCATAGCAGAGAGTGTAATGCGCCTCTGATGGCACTCAAAGAGACGGACTGTCAGGATGCTTGTCAGTATTTCAGCTTTGAGCAGCTTGCACTTTTGTATGAATATTTTCTTCTGAAAATAAAGTACTATTCATGAGAATTAGGCATTCAAGAATCTTTTTTCTAATGTCAGAATCAGACATGCAAAAACCTTTAATAAACCTTTAATATCATATCAGAAGGTCAGACTTTATGGAGCAGTATGTCATGAAACCCTAACAGCACTGTGCTCAAAGCAGAAGCTTCTGGCTTTGGCTTAGAAAATTGAAAACACACATAGGTAGGAGATTTCAAATAAGCTTACATTAAAATATAAGCATTCAAGGAAACTTTCCAGTAAGAACAAAGCATTGGTAAATCAGATTTGCTCCTCAGGGACCTCCAGCAATAATTGATGCCACAAATATCAAACATTGCATTACTGTCAAATTACAAAATCTCACTGCTCTCATTAACTGCAATACAAAATGTACATTTGCATGCAGTAAAACTGCTGGTGGTACCTAACACATAATGTAATATCACATTTCATAAAATGGTAAATTATAAAGCTAATAAAACAAGTTAAATGTGGTAACTTCAATTAGACTTTACTGAAATCTGTGGCAAAAACACGACGATGAAATTTTCAGGTTGCCCCAGTGAACGAAGTACAAAATTTAGGTACCACTCTCTATGGATCTCTGAGGCTGACATGAGGAAAGCAAGGTTGCTTTCCTTCAAGGTTCCTGAATTCCTTTTGCAGCCATATATTGTGGCTGCTATGCATTTGCAGTTGAAATTGCTAAATTACACGATCTTAGCGCTCCGTCTTCAGACACATCCCCATGAAAGGCAGCCACTCCAGCACCAGACTGCACTCTGACCCACAGCAGCACTACTCCAGGCAATCTGTAACTTAAGAGCAAGCAGCATTTTCCAGATTTCTGCTTAACAATTAACAGAATTTCCATAAGTGGTACAGCCAACAGCACATAAACGCAGTCCAGCTTATGAGTTGGTTTGTCAATGGGGCATGCTCCAAGAATTTCCATGCTTCATCCAAAACTGCATCTAATCTCCAAATTGTCAGCTGTTCTGAAAGAACAGAGGCAATCTATTCACCCAGATTAAGATTCTCATCCTCACAATTGTGAGTGCAACAAGATAGCATAAGGAGACAACTGGTTTGGGGTCAGATCCATCCATTAAGCCTTATTTAAAGCTTCTGTGATTCAAAATGCACGGTCCTGCGCCCACATACGATTTTCCTCAGTGCAAAAGAATCATTTGACCCTCCTCTCCCACTTCTCACAGCCACTTCCAGTGTTCCCAGTACATTACATATCCTGTATCACTACAACATGCTACTGCACAGTCAGTTTAGCTGGAAAGTCGCCCACCCGTGTATGTTGTATAAGCTGTATGACTTACAATGAAACAAGTGCAGGGCTGAGATAAGTGGCAAGAAAATCTTTGATGGTCAGTTGAGATTTTTTATGTATGGGCTGGGACAAAGCAAGAGCTACACACAGATACTGTATCTGGACTTGGAGACTTTATGAACCAATGTTGGGTGCTGAAAGGATGAACATTCTCATTTGTAAAGACTGCATGTTGGTTGGACTCACTGCTTAGTGTTGGCAAGGTATTTGAATAATTTTCTACAAAGATAGGAAAGTAAATTTAAAGCAATAGCATAAAACCCTAGAATAGCCAGTATCCAACTTTAACAAAAGAGCTGGAGTAAGAAAAACAGATAAAAAAATAAGATTATCTCTTAATTACAGCAGACTCACAACTATTAAATCAAGATCAGAATTTTTCTTGAAGAAGAATCTAGTTCTTCCCAGTCCCCAGAGCTATCCTCCACATTCTTTTAAGGATTTTCATAGATATGGTAATATGAAATGCTTTATTGCTGTGTAGCTGCTAACAAGAGACAGATGTTTATTTCAGTTCCAGGAAAATGCAGACACGAAGCACATTATGATGACCACCCTAATATTTCTGACCCAAGACCCATTCTGCACGTTATCTATTCATGTATTTAGTCAAGAAGATGCAACAGTTCCATACTTTTCCTCCTACTTATTGAGAGCATACATGGATAGCTGCTTCATCTTAGCATGGCCACAGTGGGAGGCAGGGCAAGTCAAGCAACACAATTTCATGAGCCTGAGAGCTCTTGTAATTACTTCGGAGGCAAATCAACTGGTGGCCATAAGCCGAACTCCCCATGTTATTTATTTAGCTAGTCCGGAAGACACACAGTGCATGTTGGCGTGCAGGATGGAGCATCTGTTTCATTCAGATGGCTGGCTGCATTCTTCACTTGATATTAATATCAGTGAAAATTTAGTAACTTAACCACTGGCATGGGAAGACTGACTTCTAAGAGAACAGATGGCAGTGATCATCTCAGGTTAATTTTAGGCTTCAAAAATTATTCTGAGTCAGCAAAGCATCAAGAGAAGAAAAAAAGAAAAAGGCAACATCTGTAAAATCTCCTACCTGTTTTCCATCCAGAGTATACAGCTTTTTGACCACTCCTGTCTCCAGCTTAATAGCTTCAGTGATATCAGTGAGAACTTGCTCAAACGAATGGGCCGTCTTCTTGTTTAAGAGCACACGAACTGCCTTCCGGGGCTTCACCCCACTACGGATGATGGTTACCAGCTTGGGACGCACAAAATCTTTGTTCTCCTTTGCCTGGGCGCTGTTGCTGCTGGCCAGAGACTGAGGTGCTTTCTGGTTGGCAGATGTCTTCACATTGACAGACCAGTTGGGATTGACGTTCTTCGTGTATTCCACCTTCTTGAAGAAGTTGTCAGATGAGCATACGTAACTCTCTCCTTTCAAAAGAAATGAACACCAGTATAATACAGTTCTTAACCTAAGACTGCTGAGAAACAGACAGTACACATTTTTCCCCCATTAACTTTGTAAAACATTCATCACAGTTTTCATTAGAACTTCAAAGACATCTTATTATTAAAACATTGTGTAAGTTTTATATTTTATATTTATGCGTATTTAAAATATGATTTAGCATTTCTCTGGTGTAAGCAAGTCAGACAGCTTATATCAGCAAACACACACTGTCACTCAGTCACATAAACCTGGGATTAAATAAGACTGAGATTTGTAAAGGCGTTAGTTACCTGAAGATGCCACTAAGCTGACTAGAAGTTCATAAACATCTAATTCATTTAATCACCTAAATTATTTTGCAAATCTGTGAGCTTCTTCTCTATCTTTACAGACCTAGTTACTACTTCAGCCTATCATCCCCTTCCAAGAGAATATCAACATCCATCCACAAGGTACCTGTTCTGTAAAGGCTGAAGAATTATGAAAATCCAGTACTAAACAATCTTTGTCAAAAAGCATCTTTGATAAATGTAGCAGGCATAACAAATACACTTCATTTAGTACCAGTGATTTATTAGTCAGATCTCACAGCAGCTGAGATAGAACACTATACCAAATACCATTGTTTGCTATAAAATGGCTGGTACCAACCAAAAATATATTAAGACCAAATATAGACATAGTAGAGAAGGGTGAAATGTTACACAATCCTAGTAGTAACTCATTGGAAAAAAAAAGAAAAAGAAATAAAGCCCTCCTCTATCTCATCCAAAAGTAGTTTCAAGCTTCATCTGTAATTTACAGGATTCTATCTACCTAAGGTTTTAAAATCACCTTAAAGAAGGATTTGTAGGAGCTTCTTTGGGGCCTGCAAGTCTGATGGATCCTAGAGGATTTATTACTAGAATGAGACTGTAAAACAGTCTCCCAGTCTCCCTAAGGGAATGTAGCTGTCTAGTCTGAAATGACTCAGGCTGCTGAGCATTTGAGGATGCACAGAAACAACAAAAAACAAACAAACAAAAACAGTGATAGAGGAAAAAGCCTTTGTCTCACCATTAGATAAAATTTTAATAGGAACTGAAGACATAAAATGGGTACCTGCAGGATTTTATGAAGTTTCTTTTGGTGCTTTGTTGGACTGATCCTACAGTTCTTTAGGTATTGTGATAGTTAAATCTATATTTTGATATCAAGGCCATTTTGAATAAGAAAAAAAATCCTTCTTCACATACAGAAGCAGTTGCATTATCTGTTACCTCCTACAAACTCTATGGCCTGGATACCTTTGAAAAGCTTTGAAAAGCCTGCCTGGCATCTGAATCTGGCTTTTCAATATCGAATCTTTCCAGACAGGATTTCACATCTATTTGTCAAAGGTGTAAATACAGATTTCCAAAGAGCCTGCTGGTTTCCACAGAAAAATTTATGATCCAAGCATGAAACGTATACCTTGTACACAGTGCTCACAAAGTTTGAGCTGTCTGATGACTAAATGGCATTTTTTAGTGAATGTACTGAGATGATTCCCTCACAGAACCATGGAGAGACCAATAACACATACATAGAGGCCTTACTAAAGGCTTAAAAAAAAGGAGCGCATACTGTTTATGCCCTTACTGCCGTTGGTGTTTCAATTCACAAGAATCCATTGAAAAGCTGCAGAATGTTTGGTTGTTCAATTATTTGGATTCCTTTTTGCCCTGACTTTGTATTTCACTTGCCAGAAAGCAGTGTGTGCTCTCAGTGGTTACACCCCCACCAGCAGCTTTTGTCTCCTGAACTGCAGAGAACCGAAGTCATTTACAGCAGGTATTGTTGTCCCTTCCGAAGTAATGACAGAAACACAGAAGGCAGAAATCTAACAAGTCTCTAGATGGATACTATTTATTAACTAGTGTACTCCAGACTAACAGAACCCCAGCAGGAGGCTCTGTTGGTGTGAACAATCAATCTGGAGCATGTGTGCTATCAGCAGAACTCCTTGATAAACTGCTCATACAGTACCCATAACCAAAGCTCCTTTAGTGCCTCACATTTCTTGAATTGGACTCAATAGAAGAAAAAATATCCCACAAAGTTCCATACATTATGAAGAATCCCCACTGGAGTTACTGATTTTTTCAAGAAATACTGTATTAGTTAAATCAGAAAGATTAACAAGCGATAAGCCATTGTTTATTTATCTGCTTCAGCCAAGCAACATCTGGTGCAGAGGAGGCCCATGCTTCTCAGCACTTTCATAACTGAGTACGAAGCACAGCAATGAGTCTGAGATGCTCAAACGGGGGAATTAGCCCTCCTAAGAACCTGAGCTTCCTCAAGCTGATAATTCCCAGGCAGCAGAGCCTTTGGGAGCATGCTGAACAGAATGGTAACATTATGCTTTGAGAAAAGGGGTTTCTGCACCTAAATGCAATATGAGGAATAAGTGACTTGAATCCTATTCTCACCTCTGCCCTTCCGTGAAAGGTTCCGACCTGTGTCTCTGCTTCCCTACCTGAAAAATAGTAGCAATTAGCTACCAAAGGGGTGCTGGGCTTGCGTATAACTTCTTTTTACACAGTATTTTGGGAGACCGCAACTAAATAAAGTGTAGGCATATGCTGTGTTCTATAAAAACATGAAGTCTTAGTGTATTTTCCATAAATAAGCTCCACATTTTAAACTGAGTTTAAGATATTACTGGTCAGTTTAGGAGTGCTATTACTCTTAACTCCAGGTGAATCCTTTGAAATTCTTCACTGCGCTGTGTAGTTCCTTAGTGTACTTAGAACAGCAGACTCCAAAGGCAATAATGGCATAATGCAAAATGCCTATGTTTTGCTTCCACAAATGCAGTGCTAGGTACTTGTGGAAAAAACATTCAGATTATACTCACAGTCACAAGTGGAAAATGTTATCCGTCCATTCTCATTTGGTTTTATTTAACCTGATCCCTAGCAGATATTTTATTGAATTCTAAAACTGACCAGAAATTTGCTTAGAGTGACAATGCTCTACTCTTCAGAATAGTGGCTCATTTCCACATCATTTCCACAGTTATAGCTATATAGCTCCTAGGAAAAGGCATTTCCATCTTCCTTGACCACAGATATAACCTGAAGTGTTAATTTCAATTTAAACTAACTACAATTTATGTATTTCCAAACTTAGTTTTTGGCTGTCAAATCATAACCATATCAATGAAATTCCTCAGTAAGGCACATCCCCTTTACCATTTGCCAGCCAGGAACATTTGCTATTTCATTTTATGCAGCTGAGCTCTACCCAAATTTTACCATAAGATAGTAGTATAATCAAGCAAGAATGGTCTGAAGTCATTTGAACTTTCCAGTTTTGAATATGTGCACTGTGGCAATAGGTTCACCAAGGAGAGAATTCTTACGGGGGAATATTTCTAGCAGAGAGGAGTGGTTTCTCTGCTACATCAATACATAGATGAGTCCTTAATGAGAATTCAAGGTGTGCATTTGTGCCAGAAATATAACTGATAAGCACAGCATGGTTGTAGAAGTGTACTGCATAACAAAGAAAGGGAGGAAGCAGATATGAGGTTCAGTCAAAGAAATAACTCCAAGAGGTACATTACTCCCCACCCCGAACATAAAACCTGCACACAAATATTTTCAGGAACGTATATTCAGACAATAAGCAGCTGTGTACATATGCAGAAACACAGCTGGAACCATGAGAAAGTACAGTGAACAGCCATTTTGCTGCTTCCAAACAAAACCCCAAATGGCAGCACCAAAGAGAATTTCACATGGGCATGGAGGCTTTGGTAAAGATGAGAAGTATCATCCCAGACAACATCAAAACTGCTGCTGAATGTGGCACTACAGGCATGAGAGCAGCGATGCTAAGAACAGCATTTTTCTAGTGCAGTCTAGGTCAGTGCAAGATGCCCTTTCTGGACTGCAAAGCCAAAGCCCTGCCGGATGTTGAGCACTTGGCATCATGACAGCGTGCTCCGGAGGTATCACTGTTTCTTACTGTGCCATCAGACCAGCTAGGGCATTTATTTATTCTTTCTATCCTACTGTTAGCAATAGATGGACTGACTGTAGAGCTTTGAGAATAAGTCAGCATATTTGCCACCTGAACCATGGTTTGTATCATACAACTGTATTGGCTATACGTGCAGTACACATCACTGTGCTACTAGTTTGATAGAAGCACAAGGCGATTAGATTATTCAGCTCCTAAAGAAGGGATGATCTCAGCAAAGATAAGGTTTGCCTTAGAGAAGGTTTCTTAGAGATTCTAAGCTCAAGATGAGTGCTAAGCCTTCAACCCTCTTAGAACAGCTTCTTTTGACAATACTAACAATGACGGGCTGTACTTTTGGAAAGAAAACAAACAAACAAACAAACAAAAAAGTTATCCTTTCTCAACATGCACCAGCAAGTTTTGTATGCACCAGCAAGTTTTCAAGTATAATGAATTCTGTGCAGAAGTTGAGAAAAGTTGGAAAAGCTGGATTGAGGCCATTTTGAAAGTCTAACTGCTAGCAGCTATTCCAAAAACTGTCTCTGTAGACTGCAGTCAATTATTTTGGTTATTAGCTCTACTGCCTCAAAGTTGAGACTTTGCTACTGTGCCCAGCTTTCATGTTCCATGGGATTTACTGTGACTTCAGTAGGAATTAAGTGGACTTAACTCCTCACAGAGTTCATTGTATATTGTGTTAAAGTAGGCCCTTGAATTCAAATGCATGAATTTCCTGCTACTTTATGCACTGAAAATGATTTTCTTCTGCCTCAAGATCTACTTCACCATGGCAAAAGGAACAGTGGAAGAGCTTCCTTTGGCTCTTCCACATGGAGCTTCCTCATGAGAGAAGCACTTCTTGCTCTGTTGGAAAAATAAAAATATTAAAAAAAAGAGAAAATGAAATGCACGATTACCAAGTTGCCTCCACAACTACATGATAAAGAATTCACCATGCCAGGTTATCTACTAGGACCATACTAGTCCTAGTGTGGCAGCTCAGATGATCGAGGAAAAAAACCAGAACAATAATACGTATTGTTATACGGGATATAATTAACCAACCTCTCAGGATAACAGTCACAGCAAACAATGTTAAGTTACCAAGGTTTCAATACTGGACTACAGGAGCTTCAGCTTTCCAGATAAACTGGAACATGCATACATTGGGTGGAGACTTCCATGTGCTTCCTACCAAGCCCTCAGTCCCAACACGCACCAGGCTCTGTACAGCTCCAAGGTGGAGCCTCTCCTGTGACTACTTTAAACATTCCTGGACAAGATTTCAGAAAAGACTTTCCAGGGTATGACAGAATACAAAAGCTTGGAAACACTTCCTCAAATATCATACATAACCCAAGAATATTTGCGATGAAACCCCAGTGAACAAAACATAATTCCATTCAGATTTTTCTAATGTTTAAACTAAGGCAAGAGCTGATTTCAGACCAGAACAGCCCAGCACAGGACAAGAGTATAAATCCACTATATGATGGACCCACTGACCCTGCCTAATAGCCTTGGCACACCAGAAGCTCACAGAGGAGAAGCTCTGCAGCTTGAGAGACATACTGTCTCTCAAATATTAATTTTAATCCATAGTTTGCATTTTTGGCCTTACCTACCGTGCCTCATCGATGCTGTATTTATAGTCAATATAGGCTTATTTCATATTTATTTCTGACCCCTACCATATGCTTCAAAGAAATCTTTATTCACAAAAAATTGGACTCTAGAAATAGGACCAAAGTCCACTTTACAATAAAATACTTGATAGAAGTATGTACCTCCAGACCCCTGACCAGGCCCTGAAAAAGACTGAGGAATGGAATGAACTAGAACAAGAAAGATCAAACCCTGACTTTCATCTTCTTCTGTCCTATGAAATTAGGACAAACAAACCAGGCTGCCTTCCTCCATCTCAGTTCCTCAATGGTAATATCACCTTCCTGCACCTTGACATATTCAGACTATAACTTCTCTGGGCAGGGAGTTTCCTAAGTCTTGGTCATTAGAACTCATTATAAAATGAAAGTTCACCTGGTACTCTTTTCCAAAACTCATTTATTGATTAGAACAATCATAATAGATAGAAGCGCTTGGGTGCAATATTCACTCCTGACTCAGTCAGAAGAACATGCAACTAGAGGACACTGTCAGCAATTTACGTATAGTCAGGATGAGGTGAACAGTGAATAGGATGCTCTACTGTATTAAATCAACATCTAGATAAAGAAAGAATACAGTTCTAAACAATGGCAGCATGTACTTCTGCATATTTACAGACACATTAAAATTGATGATGAAAACAAGGAGTCAAGATTAAGACAGTGAATGTAGTGAATGAAAATGATCTTTATTAGTGATAGCAAGAGAGAAAAAATGATCAGAGAAGACGACTTTGAAAGTCATTGGGAGACATGAACATAGACAAGTCTAGCACAGGAGGCAGTACAGAACAAGCAGACAGTGCCAAGTTCAGTACAGGAAAGGATCAAGAGGCACATCCCAGCTGATAGATATGAGATGTGACCAGAAGAGTAGAAAAGACTTCACTTATTCCATCTTAGATTGGAAAGAAAAACATACGTTCATCAAGAACCTTAGGAAAATGGCCCCTAATTCCAGTCTACCAAGTCTGACCCTAGAGATCCAAAGGGTTACTTCCAAGAACCATTAGTTAGTATGTAGTCACCAAGTATTTTTGTTCATGTGAAATATCTGCTGTCTTGAGGTTATTGGTATTATGCAATATCATTCTCTACCCTACAGAAGTACATTCAGACTATACAATATAAACACATTTTTAATCGTACAGACTAGTCAAGTACCTAGAATGCGGTGTGATTGGTAATTTACGAGCTACTGAAAATCAAACTGAAGTTAGCCCCTCCAATAACTTCATTTCCTAGGTTCTACTTATTTATTGAAAATTACAATAATAAACTAGTCACCTTTTAGCAACTAAAACTGCTTTAGTTGCTGTCAGTCTCTAACCAGAAAGTTAATTTTATGGCAAACATACTGTCAAGTGTCTGTATTGTTTTGCATGCCACACTGCAAACATGCTGAAGTTCTGTTTTTTCATGTGTACCTAGTACACAGTTACACAAACACACAGACCAGTAGCATGGTTTAACAAAGGGTTGTTTGCAACCATGGTATTTGTGTCTCTCCAAGATTGCCTTTCTAAACTAGCACTATGGGAATATTATCATTAAATTGTTAATAACAGCAGATAGATCTCCTTTTGCATTTTAAGATCTTAGATTATTTTTTTCTCATTTTGCTCAGATTGTATTTTCCTAGCTAATGCTCTGCTGGGGATACTGCAACACAGACAATCCCATTTTTGTTTCAGTGTCACATCTTCAGTGCTGTTTCCAGATACTGTTTTGGTAGAACAAAGCCAGAACTCAAATGTCAGTGTCTTCTGCCTATACCCCAATCAATAAAACAATGTATTTTGAAGAACTAGGTACTTTCTTATCTGCAGCACAAATTTCATTGTAAAACAAGTGTAATTATGAAAGTCTTGTTAACTTCTGACAAAAAAAAAAGGAAGGTCTGAGAGCCGTCATTAGAGATAGGCTGTGGCCATATTAAAAGTGATGAGAAAAATATGGCAGAATCTCTAAAATTAGGGAGGCCACACTCCCATTGGACAGCTGTATGTAACTCAGCTGAGAATAACTCTACTAGGATTGCATCATATCTGTGAAAAGCATTAACTTGTTCCTAGTAAAACTCTTCTATGAAAAATGTTATTTTTCCATTGTGTGCTTTTCCCCACAAACTATTTTGGGAAAATGAGTATCCCAGTTGACAGATAAGGAAAAGAGGCTAAAGTCAAGGTCACATGATGATTCCCTGCTGAGGTTGCCCCAGCAGTTCAGGGGCTTACATTACTGTCTTATTAAAGCAGAAGCCTTGTGGTTTTTCTGAAGTCACCACATCCCTCAGATTGGAAGAAAACAAAGAAGAGAGGAAAGCACCTCTCCTTTTGCAATAGGATAATCAGAGTATTCCAGGCACAAACAAAGGATGAAGTGTCTGAATTGGTCTGAAAAAAGCAGAGCAATTGTGGGCATTCTCCATGCACCCTGTTCAAACTGTGCCACCAGCAGAGCTCACCTGTGGCCATGCCTCAGGCAAGGATGCAGGACTGGCCGTGCAGTGATTTTTGCCTTGGGCATCCTCTTGGCAGCACCCTCAGCAGCAGCCCACCACTGCAGTGGCTGAACTCCATGGTAATTCCTTCATTCCACAGCCCAGGTGATGCTCAAAGGAACAGGCACACTGCCAGCCTCTCTAGAAACAGAGAGGCACTCTGACCTGCACCAAGCATCTCCTGCACACTCAGACCTTTTTTCCATGCATGAGATGTCTTCCCATACTTTCCCACAAACCTACCACAGCAGCCTGGCCCACATCAGCCCGCCACACACAGTCTCTGTAGAAACACTCCCCAGATACACTTCCTTGCACACGCACACATCATTTTAACATACCTACCTTCTGTACGTACCCTGTACATGAACCCTACTCATACACAGCATATGAACCCTCCCCAACACTCCTTCCTTACACATCACTGTGCAGGAATCCTCCAGCACCTCTTACACACAAAGCCCAATATCCCTCTACAACACTCCTTGAGCATAACCCTTCCAACACGCCCCCTAAGCATGAACCCCCTCTAGGAACCCTCCTTACACCTTCTTCCACATATCTCTACATATAAAACCTCAAATTTCACCAAGTGCAACCCCTCTCAACATCCCCTTTCCATGCACACCCGTTGATCATTAACTGCTTCCCAAACACAATGCATGAGCTCCTGACACACCCCTCCACACTCCTCAAATGCTGTCTGAACCGCTAACACACCTCCTTAAACACACTCACCCCACATCCCAACATTCCATAATCCCCTGCACATCCCAGCTCCCATACACATTGTTCATGAGCCCCATACTGCACACCCTTACACACTGTGCATAAATCCCTCCTACCCCCATCATACATCGTGCAGAAACCCTGTTACATATATACTGCATGACCCCCCACACATACAGTCATAGCACTTTCTACTCATAATCGTCCAACCCCAGTGGGACCCTGGCCCAGTCTGGACAGACATAGGGATCCCCTCAGACAGCCCCCTGAGCCATGCACACAGCCATGTCTAGTCCAGAGTAAGACACACCCCTCAAGCTCCGCATCTGCACTAGAGCAAGCATGCTGGAGGCACCCTGAGGGCTGCCACACTCCTCTGCATGTCTGTGCAGGGAAGGAAATGGGGCAGGTTCAACACAGAGGGGCAGAAGCATCCCTGGGCCAGAAAGAAATGTGACCTTAAGAAAAGGCCGAAGTGGTGCAGCCCCCTTCTCACCCCGCCTCCTCACTGCACCAGCCAGCAATGCCAATTACCTTCCTCCAGCTCATCCATGCTTCCAATCTTCCGCGATCCATCAATGGTGTAAATGTAACGGACTCCCTGAGGCAGATTAATGTTGTCAGACAGGGACCGGGTCAGGTCAGCCAGGAGAGCATCAAAACTTCGGAAGCGGTCGGAAGACACAGCATATACAATTCCCTTGAAGTAGCGGTCCCCGTTGCGATAGAAACGCACCTTCTTGGCTTTCTTCTCATTACTCAGTGCCTGTAAGGTCCTGGTTCTGTAGAAGCTACAATGAGCACTGTGAGTGGGACTGGGCAACCCATTCATACGTGAGCCTCGCATGTTTCTGGACGCCTTGTCTCGTTCGTCAAAGTGTCCAAAATCAAGTTCCATAGTTTGGTGAACCCTAAAGATCTGAAGCTGAGCAGGAAGATGGGAAGAAAAGGAGTGTGAAGAGGACAGGTTAGTGCCAAGCGGAGCTACAGTCCAGCAAGAAAAATGACAGAGCTACATCTGGAGCAGGCCAGATCTATTTGAGAAGCATCCCCTCCCCTGACCCAGATTTGTATCGATTCTGGGGACTGAGGGTAGGAGGGGTCCTCGCTGTGAAAGGGATCCAATTACTGGGGGCAGGGAACATATTACTAGAGAACAGTCTGCTCCTGCACCTGGGAGTTTTCAAAGTGTAGTAAATTGGGACTTGAGACCAAAGGGAGTTGCATCTCAGCCCCCAAATACCCATCCAAACACCAGTTGGCAGTGAATTAAACCTCTGAGCCCTGTGAGGTTTCTTTTGGCAACAGAAAACAAGGAGATCCCAGTGAGTCAGCCCTTCAATCTGTCGAATCACGGAAGGAATCAGAGCATCTGAATATTTAACATTAGAATAAACTGGCATTTATGAAAGAATGGTCGCAGGGGACTAAGCAGTTTCTTTGTGACAGCCTGTTCAATAAGGGTTAACAATGAGATCCATCCCACCCTTCCCCCTATCCGCAGCCCCCTCCTAGCCCATCAATCAATTCCCAGGACCAGCCTACATCTCTAAGAAGAAATGACTGGAAAGAAAAATCTGTCATTGAAACGAGGCTTCTATGAGCCCTTTTCAGCAGCCTGAGCCTCCTCTGAATTGCATTTCAGCTCCCTTTTAATGAAGAGGAGAAAATAAAGGAGCTATTTCCAACTCTTCAAACCCCCCCCCCCTCCTGGTCTTAAGTGATTTAATTGCTGGAAGTGCCCCCTGCCCAAGGGACACTCCGCCCCTGCCAGCTCACCTTTCATTGTTCTGAGCACAGGGGGGCTTCTAGCGCAAGGGAAGAGCTCATAAAAGCAGAGACTTGAGTTGACAGACAGTAATCAGGAATTTTCGCATGGTCTTTAGTTTATGCTTAAGAACAACCTTCCCCCTGCACCAAACCCCAACACAAAAGGAGGAGAAATCCCCCCAGTCCTGCTCTTTCATTCCCTCTGTAAACTAGAAACATGCAACTCACGTAGGCTGCTTGCATGTTAACACGAGGCAGAAATGCGATTTACATCCCATACTTGGTATCCAGGTAAAATCTAGGAAAAGCTGTTGCTATCAGTTCCCCACCCCTCACATTTGCCAGAACCGCTGCTTCGCTGTGTTTTACAATGTCACTGTGACCTGCACGAGAAAAATCATTGTCCTCAGCCTGCGGTAAAGCAGATAACAATGCAGGCAATCTGCAGAGAAACCCTAAGTTAGGAATGTTTTCCGCACAATGCCAGCTGGGGTATATTCAGTTGGGTGACACGTACTGAACAATGAAACATCCAAGCAACTTCGGGAATGAAACAGAGGATTCGGAGGTTTTGTATAAAAATGAACTGCAGATGCTGTAAGGTACTAAAAGAAAGATTCCTCCTTCCATCTGACATCTGCTACTTTTCTGCATGCAAGTGACTCGAAAGAGCTCTACTCACCGGTTTTCAGCGCGCAGGGTGGAGATGCTGAGAGAAAGAAAACCAGGCTCGCTCTGCCTTTGTTGTCTGAGCTCCAAGCAAGAAATTCCTGCCAGGGTGGATGAGACGCCTCCTAGGTCCTAGTGCCTTGTTCGATCCCTTCATGGTAACTTTGCCTCAATGGTTTTTACTCTAATCATCATTCATCTTATTGTAATCTTCTCTGTATCTGAAGGGGAAAAAAAAAAGGGTGTGTTCATTCCAGCCCTGGATATGTTAATAGATGGTTAAGCAAAAAAAAGTTTAAAGGGATAAGTTTGGGGCTTATGTTCTGAAGGAAGTAAATTTCTCCTTGGCTTTAACTCCACCAAGAAAGCATCTGGCCCCACTGAAAATAGAGCATAATTAGACTGATGCATCATTTTTATAGGATTACAATACAGGGAGGTCATGGTTACTAGTTTACTATGTCCTACAATACTGGCACAAGGCTAGTGTGTTAGTAAAGCAACCTAAAAAGAAAAGTTAACCAGTGGCACTGGGCCCAGTCCTGCTGCTGTACTGGTTTCACACAGCATTCATGGTTTACACTGGCAAGCAGGAAGGGACAATTGAACTTGGTGGTTACATATGCAGTGCACTTGAATAATGTTTCTCCGTTAACACTGGACATAAGTCAAAACCAAAGCTCTGAATTCAAGTACCCAAAGGGTTCAGGATGGAGTCAATCAACACAAACCTAACACAACAGATTCAGTTTGGCTTATATCCCAAACAAACAAAAGAGAATTTGGATTTAACTGCAGGAGAATTCAGCTGTTTTAAAATTGCACTAGCCTCTTTCCCTGAGACAACAAAATCTTTCACCTGCTTTATAAGAGAGATTTCCATTCTGTATGTAGAGGAGCAGCACTGCAAGCCCCACTCCTAACCCTGCTGGTGCTGGTATCATCTTTACTTTAAATAGGAATAAGGCTTGGAAATGGGAGGGTCTTCCCATCTGTAGAAGGAAATCTTTCCTAACAATGCTATGTCTGATTTGAATGAAAACATCAGATTTTCTTCATTCTGGCACATTATGTGTTTAAACAGGAAAAAAAAAAAAAAAAAAAAGTATTTATTCCAGCTCTGTCTGCCCTGTAGATGATTGTCCAGTTAGTGCTGATGAATTGAATCCACTCAAAAACAAAAACCCCTTCCCAGCAATTTTCACACATAACATTTGTGAAAAGTTTTCTCCTTCCCCTAAACCATTTTTTCATTCATATAAGGTATCATCTGCTCCCTTTGTGCTTCGTGGAATCACTACATAGGAAACCACAGAACTACTCTCCTTCCCATTCCCAAATTAGATGTATGGACATTCATCACCATGCATTTAATCTGTCCACATTATATGACAGACAATGATACTTGTATGATAAACAATGATAAACAATTCTTCCCTATACTATACAAGAGACTGTCTTAAGTTTTCATATTTTTAAAATGCAAAGGCATAAATTATTATACATGTGCTCAATGCAGTAACAGCAAAAATAGAGGAAAGGAAATAAAATTTAGTCTTCAGTGGTGCATGCCTAAGGCATTTGGATACTATTTTGTGGCAAGGTGGAAGGCTGATGTAAATTCATGCCATACAAATTATCTCCCAAGTTTGACTTCTATAGAGTCTGTGAGGACAGCAAATAGTCTCAAACAGTAATAAAAGACAGCTCTTCTTTCTAACCCTGAAAGCTCACCACCAATGAGAAAATGAAGTGTGTGTATGTTTGCTCAGGGTACTACCATAAGTTTTTGAGCATAGGCACTTGCTTTTAAAAGCATTCAGGGTTAAGCACATTTACTCTGGCAAGAATCCTGGTATACCCTGACTGAAGGATAAGGTTTCTACAATCAGTGGTAACAATGTTCATCTTTGGTGTAACCAAGTTATTTGTATAAGGTGCCCAAATCACGGGAAGTACAGTTGTCCCCTTTAATCCTGCCATAGGCAAGAAGAATCTCAGCAGCCAGAGCATCATTGGAGATGAAGAGCCCTGAAGCCAGATTGACGTGACATTCCCAGTGGAATCACACCACATTTGCTTCTCTGCAAATGAAAGCAGAATCATCTCATTCTACAGACACTGGTTGGCAATATGGCATGGAAACAAACAGCCCTTTCTTGATGAATACTTCTTCACTGGCCCCAAGGAGTTAATGCTGGTCAAAACCTATTTACTTCAGAAGAGAATCATTCCCTGAGACAAATCTAAACCATTTTAGGCAGCATGAGGTACCGAGAATCGGAAAAATTCTTCTTCCCATCAATAGCCTCATCTTGCTAAAAAGGAAAGACAAATATAGCTTTTCAGATTAAAATATCTGCTTCAAATCAGGTGAATCATCTTTCCTCCAAGGAAGCTAACATTTAGACTTCTGCCTATGTAACTAAATCTGGAAAAAGACATGTTTGTTGGCATTGCCAGGCAACTGTGATACTTCAGAGAAGAGCAGAGTGCAGATAAAAGAGATTTTGTGGCTGCTTCCCCACATATACATACATATGTGCTAACCTCCCCATGTACACATACAAAATCCAGTTTCTATTATCAGGAGTCAGTCTTAAGTATTTTCTATGTCAGCCTTCCATTGCCTTGCTAATAATACTGTCCTGAATTCTATAAAACTTCTGTTTATTCATAGCACATCACAGTGTAAGGGTGCTAATCAGCTGAAGTCTGGCTGCACCACAGTTAAAATTTTCGGAAAAAATAAAACCAAGCGGTCACTGCTTTTGTAGGAAAACTTGGATCATCATTGTCAAATCAGTCTATGTAGATGCATGTTTAATTTTTTTATTTTCACCTCCATGCTTCTGGAGTGCTTTGAAGATGTCATATCTGATCACTCCTTTCGAAGCTTTGTTGGATGAGATCTTTATGCCAAAGCGCTCTGAAATCACAAATAACTATTTCAGGGCTCTGTCAAATGTGTTGAGGCAGTCAGAACCTAAGATCCATAAAGCCAGTAACTCACTTCTGAAACTATAGAGCAGCAGCCTTTAAACCTGAGGAGCTGATAGTTCATTGAAGAACTATCCTATATTGGCCCACAGAGTTAAGTTTCTCCTACACAGTACTATAAGCAATGAGCACTTCACAGACTTTCACCATGCAATGTTAGTTTCCTTTGAATATTTATTTTTATACAGACCACACACATCTGAAAGTCTTTTAAATACCAAAGCTTGTGAGCCAAATTCAGTTTATTACCAGGAAAGTAGGAGGTTTACCTTCACAGCATAGCTGCCCCACTCCTTGCCTTGTAACCATCTGCAGAGGCTGTATAGGCCCATCTGTAGCCTGAATCACTGAAAACCCCAGGGAACAGAAGGGACAGAGTTTTCTGTCTGTGGAAGGAGGAAAGGTTGGAAGCTGTAGATTCCAATAAGTTTGGCTGGGCTCCAAGGCCACCTGCAGCAGCCAGAGAATGTAAGGTTCTCACCTACATCCCACAGCAACACCACCCTTCGGGTGGGACCTGTCACTCCTTTGGAGACAGCCTCCAGCTGTGCTGAATTAATGCTTCTGAGCTGTTGCAGCCCCACGCCCTTGGCAGATCCCCCTCAACTTCAGCAGATTACTTTGGCATCAGATAAACTTCTGCTGAAAGTTAGGAGAAAGGAGCCATTCCTTCCTCTGAGGGATCAACAAGAAGCATGCTACAAGTGAAAAGGCCATTCCCTGTGCTAATAAGCCCTTTTTAAGTATTGGAAACAATGCAGTCCAAAGAATTAATTCAGTGACTCATCGAAGACATTCCCAACACATTCAGATATAAGAAAGCACTAAAAAGCACAACACTCATCCAAAAAATACCTTTTACATTAGATTTCATCTGACTTATTCCCTCCATTCTACAAAACAACAAATCACGTAGATGAATGAATATTCCATGGCTCAAAACAAATTTCTTGATAGAGAAAACAAAACACCCTCATCCAAGGTATCCTTTTGCAAATCCTGCCACATTCAGTGGGTTCCACAAGGCAAATTTTGGTGGCAGTTCAGTGACGCAGTTTTCCCTCAACAGCAATTTGCAAAGCTTGCAGAAAGCCATGGAAACATCTGCCACATGCATTGCCTCTACATTGGGGAACATGCAGAAGCTCACAAAGGTTGTCAGTATGTTTCTGCTGACCAAACTAAGCGTGATATATAGTCTGCAAGTCCCAGCCAAGGTCAGGACAAATAAAACCACAAGAAATCTAGATGTCTCCTTCCTCAGAGGTTGTCCATGGGCTGCATCATAGCACATAGGAGACTCATGATCAAGACTACTAATTTCTTGATAATTGACCTACAAGACTAAAATTTTCAATTGAAGATGAAAAATACCTTCACTGTCTTTAGGAGACATTAGGAGTTTTTTTAAACTCTGGAGCAAAGCATTGGAAAAGACTAGAGGTAATAAAGGGACAAATTATACCAGCCTGGAGCTCTCAACCTCTGAGGCTCATGTGAAATTTGGAGTTGAGAGAAATCATGATCATCCTGTTGTGATGGGCAGGGACTACATGAGTACAAAGGTTTCAGAACTTTAAGAGGAGGCAAAAAAAGAGTCATAAACAAGGAAGAAAGGTGAGTTCAGTTTTGAATCAACTCATTCTAATGCTACAGAAGTCCCCTGCCTATACAGATCCTCCTTTTCCATCGTGCCAAGCATTTCCCATGTCCACATACCACAACACACTGCCCATAGGTAACCTTGACTGATGCCCATGTTGTCTTTGGAGGACGCACCTATTACTAGCAGAGGGCTTACCTTCAGATACAGATCCTGTTTGTGCCAACATATCTGGCAGAGCACAGGTGATGAAGTCCCACGGAAGCCACAAGAAAACCTGTCCACTGGCAGAAGATTAGTATTTAAAGCATGGATTCTGGCAAAGTTCAGCTGTTGTGCAGTGGTGCTGAACTGTCAGCTACACGGTAGAAACAATTGTCATTCAGCTTTCTCACCTACCAACAATCAGAGCTGAGAGGCAGCTCTGATGTTTTCATATTCTCCATGAAAGAAGAGAGCAGAGTGGGGAAGCACTTCTTTTATGCTACTTGAACCATCCTATGAAAGCAATAAAACAATCTGCTTTATCCTAAAATTTCACAGAAAACAGTAGTAAATGATGATTTTTTCATTGCTGCAGATACTGCTTAGCTAAATCTGCCATTGTTCTTCAGGCACGTTTATCTTTAAGAAATTATTGATAATCATTGCTTTAAAATGAAAATTTAACTGCTCAAATTCACAAATCAAAATACACAAACACACTAAATGATAGATGTTTAAATACCAGTATATAGAGATTCCTTATTTGCACTGATACAGTCTCATTCCAGAAGGACAGACTTGTTACAGTCAGTCAGAATGGAGAGAACAATAAAATACACTACAGCACACAAGGCTGTCTCTGGCATCTTCAGTCACCTTCTTCCAGCTGGAAGAACCAGCTCTGCAAACACTGCATTGAACTAAAACAATTCTGATTCTTTTCCCAGATCACTACCAGGCTTTGAAAAGCTGGGGTTGCATGCAGGAGCCAGCAATATCAGTTGTTTCTGGTGCCAATGCAAAGTCCTGTCCCTAGCAGCTCTTAATACATCCAGGGACTTTAGATACCCTTAGAGTACCTACAAAGAGCTACATGTATGTTTCATCTTCAAAACAAAGGTTTTGGTATATAAGCCTAAGACATGGCCTTTCAGATAACTCTATTTAAAGTGCTGAAATGATCTGAACTTCTGCAGTTCATCTGCTCTGTGGGGTAGATGTTTCCTTGTCTGCAGCATGACCATCAGGAGAAGCATAGGGCAGTCTGTTAATCCACTGATGCCTCTGAACAGACTTGCTGGAAGTAGGCATCTCATCCTGCTGGGAGGCAATGACTGTCAGTGCTTTGATGCTGATCATTTTAGGAAACTTTAGTAGGTTTTGATTTGGGGTTTTCTTTGACTAGTCCAGGGTTTTTTTTGTTGTTGTTTTGTTTGTTTTAGGAGCGTACAGCTTGCTGAAAATCGGATAATTGTTTAACATCTCAGGAATACCAGACGATTAGATTAGATATTAGGAGGAAATTCTTGTCACAGAGGGTAGTGAGGCCCTGGCACTGCTGCCCAGAGAGCTGAGTGCCCCATCCCTGGAGGTGTTCAAGGTTAGATGGGATGGGGCCCTGAGCTGGTGGATGGCAACCAGCCCAGAGCAGGGTTTGGAACTAGATGGTCTTTAAGCTCCCTTCCAACTCAAGTCATTTTACGATTCAATGATGGTGATTTTACTGAGTGAGAAGCTGACACCAGAAACTCCAGTGTTGATTCTGATGCTGTTTCCTGTATACTGTATCCTGTATATTCCACTGTATACATTCTTTTTATTATGAACCTTCCCCCCAATGTAAGATAAAAAATTACTACATACTACTTATGGATTATTTATTCCCCATTGTAAGAAAACCCTGGTCTGGAAAAGTTTGTAAACCACTGTTTAATTGAACAGTAGAACTGTACCAGAACATCAGGCTTCACAGCCAATGTTTGGATCAAGAACAATATTAGAAGATAGTCTTGATCTCTCATCTGAAGGTATCCTTACCAGTACATTCAATTTAACAAGATCTCATAAAAGGTTACCCAGAACCAACTATGTGAACACTCTGAACAAGCAAAGATTGTAGGATTTCAGGCACCAGATAGAAAAGGCTTCCATTTTATACTCCACAATTCTTAACACATATTAATCACTAGAGCTGGAGCCAAAAGGGGTCTACTCAGAAAGCATAAAGAAATGCAGATATTTCCCGTGACTTCAAACTCCAGAAAAAGAAACCCTAGCATGTTCAAATGGGACAAGCTCTCTGCTCACTGTGAACTTGAGGGTGGTCTTTATGTGGGATGTTTGAAGACAAGTGGCTCAAGTCAGAAAAATCAATTGATGAAATGCCATAATAGTGCAAAACATCAGATTTGTTCCTTGCTAGCTGTAAGAAAAGGATATTAGTACCAGACTGGCTTTACTGAGAGTCCTGTTGGTCGTAACCACTGTTCTCTCCTCTATCATCATCTGCTGAACTGCCAAGTGAAGGTACTCCTACAACAGGTTTCAGTTCCTAGTGCTGAGTACACATCAAGTCCCAGCAGAATGTCACCCTACTACCTTTATATCATGGGCTAATGGACAGACAGATTTACCCACACACATCACAGCCACTAATTTTGTTCATCTCCTGCTTTGTTACAGCCACTGGAGAAAAGCAGATCAGCTGATTGCAATCGCACTACAGAAACAAGCCACAGCTTTAAATACTAACAGGCAATTGTTTTGTCCTTTGCACCCATTAAGCGCTTTGCAGTTCTGAGTTGATGTTTTATTCTGTTTCCATTTAGAAAATTAAATTGCTTAGCTCCTTATGTGAGTTACATTCATCAAGCAATTCACCAAACATTTACAGCTTGATCCTCAGTTAGTAACTCCGAAAGCAGATGGAGCACTTCTCAAGTATCTTTTATTCAAGACTGATTCAAGGCCCAGAGCATAACACAAATAGTTTTTGCATGGCCCCTGGGCACAGTCATGACTTGTTTCCTTGTGGTCACCCTGTGTTGATCCTGGACCCAGCGCTGCTGATCGGGCTGATTCCCCAGTTTGTGGTCTAATTCTGAAAGCCAGTACTTAAGAGCAGTGTTTGCCTTGCTTTTTGACCATATGATCCTACTCACTTTTGAGTTGGCCATGCTAAAGATCATCTCTTTACTTTAAGGTACATTTCCTACGCATCTCTTTGCGATATCCATTTTAAGTTTCCTTCCCTGCCTTTTCTGTAGAGGTGTGAAAGGGGAACCTGAAAGGAGATCTAGTTTTACTTTCTTCAGTGTTAATCACAAAAGAGTGGAACGTCCACATCACACCCAAGCCATTCATGGAGAGAGTAACACCAGTGCAGAGTGGTTCCCTGTGAGGTTGGCAGATGTGACAGGAAGCAGTAAGCCAGACATGAGATTGAATGCATAAGTTGAGTGCACAAAGAGTACCTCCACCGTGCTCACAAAGCAGCACGAAACTGCATCGTACCCCTGAAAGCTCAGGCATCCGCAGCAATCATCGTCGGGATGTCCGTGAAAACCTCGGTGCAAACCTCATATCCGTCTTTGGGCTGATTCCTCGGGCTGTAGGTATCTGTAAGACAGCAACGATGCCACCATGTGGTGAAATTGAGTATCGGGAGTGCAAAGCAATCCTCGTTCGAGGACTCCGATATCAGTTTGGAGGAAGTGCAGCTCTCAAGCACATTATTTGCTTCCTAGAAAGAGAGGATACAATGCACCCATAAGCAGCCACCATGCTTCACTAGCAGTGCTGTAGCGTGCCAAGAAGGATTTGCAGGCACAACAGCTAGTCCATCTGATGAATTGCTATGGCAAAAGAAATGGAAGAAAGTCTCTTACACTTTGCACTTCCCACCCTCCTTCCTGCTTTGTGGAAAGGAGCGAGCAGACAGGCTTTTTGCCTTGATGACTTGCAAGGTCACTGCCAGCTCTGGAACATGCTCACTTCCCCTGCAACTTGGTGGGCAGTAGCATAGCCTGATTGTTAGTCAGCTACTGAGAGCCATGTAATGATTATTCATCATCATAACAGGCAGTGTCTGTACAGCATGATGTTACTTCCCACTACAAGGAATCACTTCTGATCAGAAATTCAGGTAAAGCTGAACAATACGGTTAGTATTTAATGATAGTGATTTAATTCAAAGGAACGGATAGCTGATAGATTTGTTTTAACTTCCTCTCAGCAAATCAATTCCCATAACTTGGTTATTCTTCCTATAAGTTTCAGCACACATTATGCATACACTTGCAAGAACCTAACAACATCTCAGACATCTTGAGCGGTTAGGGCTGGACTGCAGCTTCTTGACAACGATGCAGCCAGATTTACACAAATCTTTCTCCATTTGCCCAGTAGGATTAAGTGATTTAGCATCCCTAAACTGAAAAAGGAACAGATTTGTTCTTGTTTTTGTTTGTTTGATTTTGCACATTACAGGATCTTGAAAAGCAGAATGACCCTTGCTCAAAGTTGGGATTTGAGCTGTATGTGGGGCGAAACAAATCCCAGAGATGGAGTCACAGCTTTGCACTGCATTGACACAATCTGGGATGTGACTTGTTTGATTCACGTCAGACCAAAGGAAGGCCTTGCAGAAGCTAATTACCGTTTTGTTTCATGTAGCCCATTGGGTGATAAGAAATCATTTCATTTTACAACAGACACCAGGAACAGGCTCCTCATACAACATAGCTTTCTTCCCCTTAATGCTTAAGGCCTGCTAAACAACACAGACAATTGGTTGAAGGATTTAGAAAACACTTAAGGAAAACATGTTATCAGGCATTTGCACGTCAGACTTGCTTCCCCGAATTTTGTAAATGCCCTTCCCCTCGCTGCCCCAGGAGGAAGCAGTTAAAGGCAATGCCAGCAGATGGCAACCCGCTAAGGCGGTTGTAGCGGTTGTTGAGCCGTGCAGACCTGCAGTGTGGGTAGCAGGCAGAGGGTCAGAGCAGCTTTGTCCTTGCAATTAAAACTTCAAAGGAGAGGCTATAGGAGACATCCAGCTGTTTTAAACTCTGCTGCAGCCACACTGTATTACTAACATCCCTGTGGTACTACTTAACCCATTTGCATAGCTCATTCTATAAAATTCTTACTGGCTTCTCAACGCTAAAGCATGGGAAGCTTGCACGACATGCACATGGTCATAGATCGCTGTGATTTAAGAGTCTCAGTTTTCTTTTATACTTCCAAAAACCCTGCAGAGGACCAGTTTCTTTTAAGCAACACTGTCTGAAATATAGGTTTAAATTATACACTGCCAATTCAGACAGAATATAAAACGTCATGCCCAGATCACATTTTTTAAAATGTCCCCATGCTTGAGATTTCCTTCTGTCCAGCTCTAGGATAAATCCTAATTTGTGCTGTAAATTACTGTTCAAATATTTCCCTCCCACCAACAACTCAAGGAATTAGAGGGTTTAAGTTTTATGTGCAGATAACATTTGGAAGGCTGTAAGCATTTGGAGTCTCCCTAAATTTTTAAAAGCTGGAGGGCAGCAGGTTTGGCAGTCCTCACAGAGTTCAAGTAGGAGCTTCCTTAGCAGGAGCAATGCTTTGTTTCACACCATCAAAACACAGAACAAGGGTTTCCAGGCACCCAACAGAATCCAGAGGACTAGAGCCAGAACTCACATTCAGACAAGCCACAACCCACACTCTTCATCCTCAGCTGAGCTCTGTACGAAGAGCCATGAGAAGGATGCTACTTGCTACCAGGCCTTGCCAGCCTGACCTACACAAACTGAATACAGAGAGTATCTGTTTCTTCAGAGAGGAGCCTCATCTTTCCTGTGAAAGCCTGCGTTTCTGCATATACAAAGGGAAAGTTTAGATCTGAAGCTGAAAACTGCTCAGTCTTCTCAGCTCTTCAACAAACCCTAAGCTCATGGCCGTGTTCCAGGAATTTGAATTTTCTTGAGAAGAGCTGAGGAATTGAGAAGCACTAGTTTTCTCACATACAGAGTGATCAGTACCAAGCAGAACACAGCAGGGAAAGAATACTGAAAAAAGTGACCATTTTAGAGTTATTAAGGGGGAATTTGAGTTATAGTGAGGGAAGAGATTACAGCAACATCCTGCTAATTAGCAGGGGAGAAAACAGGAGGTCCCATTCACTAAACTATTGTTTTAAATTAGGATATGGAGTTATTTCATTGGAGGGCTGCTTTCTATCTTCTCTTCCAGAATAGAGATTAGCAGTAAATTATTTAATTTACATTGGCCAAATAGCTATCAATTTCAAGGAGATGCAATTAGATTTCAGAAGACAGCTTTTTAATATTCATATCAGCTGCTGTAACTACATTTTCAATCCACTGCAGGATTTAGCAGGCTGTTGAACTTGGTATGGAGCAGTGGGTTGTGGTAGGTCACTGGGGTGAGCTCATGCTGTGACAGGGATGGATGATAACTCACTAGTTGTGATCATGCTATAGGGAAAGGAACTCAACAAACCCCAGGACAAAGAATATTTCTTAACAGGAACCAATTGCCCATCAGTTTCAACTTCACTACTCTCTACCAAAGCTCTCCAGCTTAGCCACAGTCCAGCAGAGTATCAACATACCAGAAGACAAATTAATTCTTAATTATTGCTGCCCCCACCACATATGCAACTTCTACCATGCAGTGACTATTCCACATGCTGTTATTCCCATGGATCACAACTAGCTTCTAGTAGAAAAAAATATATACATTTTACTTGGCTTAAGCCAGTTTCACACAGCAGAAGCAAAATATTTATTGGTTTGGCTCAATTATCATCAAGTCTCTGCTGGTTATAAAGCATGCAGAGATTGCATAACAGGATCCATACAGAAAGTCTGCAATATGCAAGATCTAATGCCTTGAATCTAAGGAAGCAGGATTTTTTGGAGCAACGAAACATTGAATCCAGTATGAGTAAATGTAACACCATCCTCAGCAAGTACCATTAATTTACTTGCACACTGGGATAAGCTGCATTAGTCCAGCAAGAGAGCTTTTGTTTCCTTATGTTCTTCACGCTGGAAAAAATACTTACCATGTGGATTATACTAAGGGTAAGCAGACATTAAGTAGAGGAGAGGTGCTACTATACCTTCATTAGAAAACAGGCTGTTCCATACCTCAGTCAGGGAGTTATGGAGCAGATTTAGAGAAACCTTACTGAAAGAGATCTTAACTAGCAGGGAGCACATCCTTCAGAAACGAGGCATGTAATAACTTATTCTGGTGTCACCATTCCCTGAAGTAAATAGCATTGGATTTTTTTCTGAAATAACTAGCTCATTACCTCAGCCTGTGGCAGAAGCAGCAAGTGCCAGCCATCTGGAGTGCTAGATGGCCCACTGCCAACATAGCTGTGATGCTGTGGAAGAGGTGGAGAGCAGGGGTGAGTTAGAGGAATGAGAACAAGTATAGCATAGACAGAAGGCTAAAGCAAGGGGAGGGATTTACACGCAAGAGAAAAAAAAGAACTGCTCTTAAAAAAATTGTAACTGATGCCTAAGATCAAGCAGATATTGGAAACAAGTTGTTTTCCATGTTATTTGCTAGCATAAGGGTAGGGAAAGAGATGACCCTAACAATGAAGAATTATTAGAAATAAAATTATGAGATAAATAAAATAAAAGTAAATTAAAATAGCGAAGAGCCAACCCATTATGCTGTGTTGGGAAATGTAAGTTCCCTGACTCGAACACCTATCTCTACATAGGAGAACCATCACAACACGGTTTACTGACAGATGAAGCTTATCTTCCTCACTAAAAAGAGTCCATACTTATACAGACCTCATTTAGACTCTGCTTGAGTCTTTACCTCAAGTAGCTCAAGCCATCACACTTTACTATTTTGTTACCTTATTGTGATGCTGTAATATGAAGAGCAGTCATGAGAAACTAGACTTTTTTTCACAGAGATGTAGCAATTTACTATATACAAAAATACGATCCAAATTCTTGATGACTAAATAGTACAGAAAATAACCTCCAAAATATACCAAGCAACACATCTCTAGTAAGTGCTTACAGACAATTTCAACAGATTTGTTGGCAAGAATTGGTTAAAAGCAAAAACCAGGTAGGGCTGCTCACAGTTCTTAAAGGAAATTAGGTGAAATAATTTGTTCTTTTTTTTCCCCTCGTGTTTACCAGTATCAAGTTATAGTAGAAAAATTGGGACACTTGAATGTTAAGTGTTACAGCATTTTTCTATATAGGAATGCTGTTTTTCTTTCCTACCATTGTGGGTTCTTAAGATCTGCACTCTATGAGCTGTAAGGAATGGTAGTCAAAGTCTAATAAATATAGGTGCCGAAGTAACTATGTTTGTCTTCTGTTGGTATAAGAAAATAAATCAACTTGTGGCTCTATCTTCCTGGAAAGTTAAGGCCTTTAGCATCGCTTCTATTTTTCCCTCTTTTTTCCCTCAGGCTCCTTAAGGAAAATTACTGTTCAGAAAACTACATGTGAGAGTCATGCCTGCAGAGGGCTAATTCAATACTGCTGTGCCATAGAGCTGTGATCACTTTCTCTGGAAACAGGAGAACAAGTCTTTCTTTGTAAGGGATAGGCGAAGCTGTCTTTTGGTGGAAACATGACAAAGATGTTTGCCCTTTTCCACAAAATTAAAACGTGCTACTGAAATAGGCTGATTTTAAGGAGGGAATGTTTTATCACCAGACA